ATTTGTAACAGTTATGCTAACAACAATAAAAAATACATTTATGACAGTAAAACGGCAACATCTGCTGACGGACACCATGCTGTGTAGTCACGGGAACATCCCAGCTGAAGATATTAAGGAAATTACATCACTCGCTTTGCCAAGTGCATTCCAAACGACTACATAATGGCACGCACGTGCCCTGCTCACTCCAAAGTCCCCACTCCAAGGGGATAGGATGATCACTTCCATTTGGAATTTCCCCTGTGAACCGTTCGGTACCGATACTTGTATCGGCACATCCCTAATACACACATATACATATATACATATTTATATATACATGTATATAATTATATTTTAAAGTATATTAAAATAGAAACCATTATTTTATATTGTAACAACATTTTGCAAGATTACTGTTTTTTTTCTGTATTTTTGATCAAATAATGCAGCCTTGATGAGCATAAGAGACTTCTTTAAAAACATTAAGTCTTACTGATCCCAAACTTTTGAACAGTAGTGTATATACATATTCTCTCTTTTTAAAGTAAATGCTGTTCTTCTGAACCTTCTATTCATTAAAGATTCCTGAGAAAAATTATTTATTATTAATATTAAGCAGCAAAACTGATTTTAAAATTGGTAATGTTAAGAATGGTTTCTTCAGCAGCATATTAGAATGATTTTTAAAGGAGCGTGTGACTCTGACGACTCTGAAGAGTAATGATGCTGAAAATTCAGCTTTGTCATCATAGGAATAAATTACATTTATAAATTATATTCAAGTAGAAAACTTGCAATGATATTTCACAATTTTAGAAATCTGAAAATAGTGATTGATTTGTACACTCATGTTTCAAGATGTAAGGAAATATAACTTTGTATATTATTACTCTTCTTGCTTTTTACTGGATTTTTACACCATTACATTTTTACTATTTAACCAAACAGTAAACGCTAATAGTAAAAAAAGCAGTTTTCACAGTGAACCTGCATTTCATCTTATTTTGCTCTCAGAAAGCAGCTAGACTCTGGCAGTGTCACATTCAGGCCACTGACCCAGTTTCTTTCCCCCCACCACAATCAGACTTTAGCCCTGAGTTGAACTGTCTGTGTCTCTGTGTGAGACTGCTCTTTCGTCATCGTTTGGTTGAGTGTTTTTCATCAGCGCTCTGGCCCTGGGTTGTTCTGGTCCACAGAACTCCATCACCTTCAAGCACCCGGCCTGAATACATAATAAGAGGAAATGACAACTTTGTTTTGTTTCTTAATGGGAGTTTTATGGTACCGTTCTAGCATTCCATGCAGGAACAGTTGTGTAAAATATCAGTGTCACGTATCATAGACAGCAAAAATCTTTGTGCAGTACAATGATACAGCATATGATCATTCTCAACCATCTATAGACCCTTTCTGTAAAACACATTTCCATGATTCAAAATTGAAATAACACTTTCGAATGTGGTTATTTACAGTCTAATTGCAATGTTATTTTAGTATTATTTATATACTAATGTAGTATTTATTTATATTTTGAATTATTTTGTACTATTTTCAACATAGTTAAAAACTTGTGATAGTTATCTTTATACTCATAGTTCTTTGTGTCAGCAGGCCTTAATACTAATCATTTAGGGGTGTGTGTATAATGTGCAGAAGCACTGCGTGATCACATGTTTGGCTTTGTTGGCCAATCAGAAGGCATCGATAGAAGGGATGGTACTCAGTGAATGCCTGAGTACAACTTGTACGTAAAAAGAAGAGCCTTTTCTTCAAGTGATGTTGATATTTATGACACTTTGACCTTTTGCCCTCAGAGCATGAGTCAGGTGACTGGTGACGGCTCCCTCCCGCAGCTGCCTCTGCCCTGCCTGCACAGCTCACAAACACGCGTGTTCTGCGGCCATGAGCGCAGACTCGCTGAAGGTAAGCACCCTCTGTCTGTCTCACACATTCATGTACACAAGAAAGTGATAGTTCACACGAACATGATGAAAAAAGTGTAGTTTAGTCACCCTCATTTTGTTCCAAATTGTTATGCATTTCTTTTTTCTGTGGAACACTAAAGGAGATATTTAGCAAAATGTTCATGCTGCTCTCATGCATACAATGAAAGTGAACAGAGGTTAGGGTTGGCAAAATCACCGCCAAAAATGACAAAACGCCATAAAAATAGTCCATGCATTTTTAAAGTATTATTTTTTTTCCCAGCAATGATGCATTAAACTAATTAAAAGTGGCAGTAAATGTGTTTTGTTTTATTTTCATTTGTTTCAAATAAATGCTGTTATTTTGAATTTTCTTTTCATCAAAGAATCCTGAAAAAAAGTATAACCGTTTACACAAAAATATTAAGCAGCACAGCTATTTTCAACACTGATAATAATAAGAAGCTTCTTGCGCAGGCAATTAGCATATTCGATTGATTTCTGAAGGATCATGTGACACTGCAGCCCTCTACGAACACCTTGGCAATTGAATCGCCATTGGCTAGTACATTTTTTAGTTTACTCGCCAGACTGAGATATATATATATATAGATACATGCATATATACACACAAATCTACTAAGAACAACAATATAAAATGCACTAAGGATTAATGAGCTGCTGGATTCATGAATATTAATAATGTTGTGTGCGTTCACTCGAACTGATTTGCTGAAATCAAAACAGGGATGATAATAAGTGAGTGCCATCCAATGAGATTGCCATTTGCGCATTAGTCCCGCCCACTACTGGAGAAAGCGGCATTTCTTAAAAGCTGAAGAACTCCAAAGGAGCGCTGTTATTTTGACAGGAAAAAACAACAAAGAATATTGTTTACATGTAGCGCGTCAATTCTCTCTCTCTCTGCGTGTGTGTGAGACAAAGCAACGGCGAGTCGTGTGCTTTCACACTAGAGTTTACAGTACGTTAAATACAAGTGCGCTGCGCTTCCATTCAGATGAACTGAAAAATATCACAGATCAGTTGACGGAGAGTGAAACCCTGAAGCACTCAGTCAGAGTGTTTCGGCGAGTGAAAATATATCTGTGGTAAACTTATACTTGGCCTCCAACTCACACACTGGCGAGTAAAATCTGAGAATTTATTAGCCATTGGCTAATATTAGACATCATTTAGTCGCCCAGAGTGAAGATCTAGTCGCATATGCGAGTGATTTACTCGCAATGTAGAGGGTTGTGGTAGATACGTTTTGGCTGCTTTTTCTTCAATAACTGGTCCAACTTCAAATAAAAAAAACGGTTACATTTTATAATTACTCTACCATTTGAAAGTTTGGTCTCGGTAAGATTTTTAAAAAGTTTCACGCAATCAAAACGGGGACGATAATAGGTGAGCACCAGCCAATGAGATTGCCGTTTGCGCTTTGTTCCGCCCACTACCGGAGGAAGCGGTAGTTCTTAAAAGCTGAATAATTCCAAAGGAATTTTGACAGCAAAATACAACAAAGAATACAACAAAGAATACTGTTTACATGTAGCGCGCATAGGTAGCGCGTCAATTCTCTCTCTCCCTCTCTCGCTAAGAAAGTGAACTGAACAATGATATAATAAACTGTTCCTGCACACTAATAACGTTTGCGCATTAGTTCCGCCCACTACCGGAGAAAGCGGTAGTTCTTAAAAGCTGAATAATTCCAAAGGAATTTTGACAGCAAAATACAACAAAGAATACTGTTTACATGTAGCGCGCATAGGTAGCGCGTCAATTCTCTCTCTCCCTCTCTCGCTAAGAAAGTGAACTGAACAATGATATAATAGACTGTTCCTGCACACTAATAAACATAGCACAGCGTCAGTGTCACGAATGCCATATTTTAACATCCACATTAAGTTGCAATGACCTTTTCCCCATCATGCCCACAGTGAAATGAAGATGAACACAGCACAATTTATATACTCAGATAAAAAAGTAATTTCCAGCGAGAACTTCAAATGAGACTCAAAAAAGAGGAGCAGTGCTGAGGGGCTTCTCCTTACATGCCTGAATAAATTACATTTAAAATGAGAGAAAGGACATGGACTACCACATTCGATATCTGCAATGAGCTTCACTTCAATTAAAGAGACGCAAACAAAAAGACTCATTTCAGGAATATCACGGAAGTCAGATGCATGTTAAAGGGGTCATATGACGTTGCTAAAAAAGAACATTATTTTGTGTATTTGGTGTAATGAAATGTGTTTATTTGGTTTAAGGTTCAAAAAACATTATTTTCCACATACTGTGCATTATTGTTTCTCCTCTTTGCCCTGCCTTTCTGAAACACGTTGATTTTTACAAAGCTCATCGGTCTGAAAAGCGAGGTGTGCTCTGAATGGCCAGCTATCCAGTGCGTTGTGATTGGCCGAATACCTAAAGCGCGTGACGGAAATGTTACGCCCCTTACCATTCTGTGATGCTGTGTCCTGGCGTGACGAAACAAAACCAATAAAACCCATTATAAACGAGGCATTTGTTGCATCCAGTGGGGACATAATTACTGATTATAATTAGGGCTGTGCAATTAATCAAAATCGTCATAAAATCGCGATTTGAGCATGCTCGATTTCTAAATCGCTTTATAGCACGATTTTCTGTGCCCCCGACCATCCCCGAACTCGGATAGTATGCTATACAAACCAATCAGAATGCAGTGCGCCTAAATGGAGCACGAGAACAGAACAGACCGGGCGGGCATACAAACGTAACGCCAGGTTCACACACTCCGTCTGTGGTGCGTATTTTGTCCACGCCCATGTTAACGGATCAGAGCGTTCACACTGCACGCGATTGCGGTCCGGCAGTGCGCTCCAGGAGCGGTACGTCTGCAGCAGTCATGCTGCGATCGTTTCCGCACTGAGTCCATTTCTGCTGTGCTGCATGCGCTGAATTAAAGTGACAGCGCATTTTTCGTGGTAAAAATTAACATGGATTGACACCGAAATTTTGTAATTACACCATAAATGCATATAATTAAAGTCTACTTTTTCACAGTCAACACATGGCTTTTTGGCTAGATTTAAAACAAGGAAAAGTGCACTTTTAGATAAACAAGGCAATAATAGATGGCACTCGTGGTGGTAGTTAAACAGTTATATTTATTGAGTTTAAACGTGAATATGTCTATGAAAGATTGTATTACTGTACTGTGATAAAAGAGAATCACAATGCTGAAAAAGCATTTTCAGAAACAACGTTTGGATTTGAAATCAAAATAATGGATTAATGATGTGTTTGGGCGGCATTATGCAAATCTTCCCACATCGTGACGTAGACATGTGGGGGCGTGTTTAAATGAGGCGTTTTAGGAGGGCGTGGACAAGTCTTTACTTTTATAAAGAATATCTCTTTGGGTTTGAGACTTTAGTCTTTGCAACTTTAGGGATCTTATTTATTCACGAACAGCTTGCAACACTCCAAAGAGAAAGGAAAACTTGAAATTGCATCATATGACCCCTTTAAAAAAAAAAAAAAAGGTGAGTAAACGGTGGTGTGAAGAGAACAGGCCTGAGGAGGTGTGAAAACCTTTTTAATTAAAGTCTTTGCCCGCATCTCACGCTGGAAGCGTCTGAGACATATCCTCTAAGACACCGGCTGATTGGACATAAGCCAACTCTCTTGAGTTTATATATTCTTGATTTCCATAATATTCCCTTTCCGCTGCCATGATTTGTCAGTCATATATGTAACGAGAGAAGAAATGTGTGAAGGGAAACCCAATGATCATGTTATTCAGCATGAATGCGAGTGATCCAAAAAAGAGTCTTGAGCTTCAGTGGAAGCAGAACATTCTTCGAAGTGTCACAACATCAATGTCAGAAATTTACTTATTTGGTTAGCAACATATAAAAATTCAATCCCAGATAATTTTGCTTATTTCCAAGTTTTGAATCCCAGATTTCTGTGTAACCTCAGACTTTTAGACTGTCCGAAAAATACAGTAAAAAAAATGACATATTGTGAAATATTACTACAATTTAAGATGTCTGTTTTAATACATTTTAAAAAGTTATTTATTCCTATGATGGCGAAGCTGAAGTTTCAGCATCATTACTCCAGTCTTCACATGATTCTGTCAGAAATCATTATAATATACTGATTTGCTGCTCAAGAAACATTTCTCATTATCAGTGTTGAAAACAGTTAAAATTGTGAAAAGCTTGATACCTTTTTTTCAGGATTATTTGATGAATAGAGAGTTAAAAGGAGCTGTATTTATTCACAAATTAAGTATGTAAGCCTTTACTGTTGATATTGGTCAGTTTCATTTGTCCTTGCTGAATAAATGTATTGATTTTTTTTTTAATCCCCCAAAGTTTCTAAATATATAATATAATATAGACTTTTACTGTATGTGAAGGACAGACTTTTTGTGAAGGATACATTTTCCTGCATTGTACTACATTTCATCAAACTATTTTAAACAGCTTTTTTTTCTTGTATAATTATGCATGCCATTTTATTATCATATTAATTGCGCAGACAACATTGAATACTTTTTATTAATGCTTTTTGTTACAATTTAAACAAGTTAGTGAGGGTAAAATAATGTTTAATAATGAGTGACCAACGTGTAAAATTTTATTTATACAGCTTTACTAATTTGAACTTAAATATTTGATATTTATGCCCATGTTATTTTGTCTCAACTGTATGAGATTGCTGCTCAGACTGACTGGCATGTACAGTACCAGTTGCATTATGGAAGCTCTTACTTTATTTTCCACAGGCGAGAAACAAGCCGCAACGCATGTCTCTTTGGATCAGGAGTTTGACCGGGATCTTTCCCAGCTGTGGAGGGAGTTGGAGGAGCGGGTCGTCGCCGTGGTGAATAGAGGGGCGGTTCCCATCACCTTCTTGTATAATTATGCATGCCATTTTATTATCATATTATTTGCGCAGACAACATTGAATACTTTTTATTAATGCTTTTTGTTACAATTTAAACAAGTTAGTGTTGGTAAAATAATGTTTAATAATGAGTGACCAACGTGTAAAGTTTTATTTATACAGCTTTACTAATTTGAACTTAAATATTTGATATTTATGCCCATGTTATTTTGTCTCATCTGTATGAGATTGCTGCTCAGACTGACTGGCATGTACAGTACCAGTTGCATTATGGAAGCTCTTACTTTATTTTCCACAGGCGAGAAACAAGCCGCAACGCATGTCTCTTTGGATCAGGAGTTTGACCGGGATCTTTCCCAGCTGTGGAGGGAGTTGGAGGAGCGGGTCGTCGCCGTGGTGAATAGAGGGGCGGTTCCCATCACCTTCCAGCCCTCCCAATGCTGTCTGAACAGTCAGACAGACAACCTCAGATACCCCCTTGCTGTAGTGGAGGGTATGTTTTTCCCTCCTACAGCACCTACTTTTTAAGCATTTTTGTCTGTGCTTTATATCTGGTCATCTAATTTTTGATTTGAACACATCTATATTGCCTGCACTTCTCCATTGACACAAACTCTTGGATTCTGTGGAGGTTTTGATGCACTTTAGGGTTTTCGTTATTGCGTTTGACGTCTTGCGTGGCTGCGTTTTTGATTTATTCGTGTATTTTTAATTGAACTGAGATGAATTATTCACCATTTGCTTTCCTCTTTATTTCATGAAATCTAAAAGAGAACTAATGAAGCATAGCGCCTTACCTGGATTTGACTTGGTGGAATTATCTTGCAGCCTCATCAGTGGTATATGTAGTGCTGCAAGTACTAAACTAGTATTGATCCTAGAAATGCATTATTTATCATGATACTGTACATTCACCTGTCAACAGCCCACAGCGAGAGGGGAAGAGTAAAGAGTAAAGAGGAACAGGAAGAACCTGCAAACACCCTTTAGTGAGGCTGCCATGTTCCTACTTATAATTAATTCTCATTAGCAAATATTTCAGCAGCATAGCACATAAAATAAAACATACTGTTGCTCGACAAAACTATTCAAGAGTTTTTGTGTGGGATCAAGTACCTTTCTAATGATGTATAGTTATAGGCTGTCTGCCAAAAACTAGCAGTTACCTTGCAGTTTGTCTGTAAAATACAATTATTGTTAATATTATAGTTCTATTTATGCTTAAATACTGTCTTTATTTTTAATATTTGTTTTATTACACGTGTAATATTTCTTATTTTGTTTAATTATTTAGCATATAATGATAATGTTTTTTGCTGTAATGTATATTTGAATGCCATCATTCAGGCCTAAACTACAAATGATCAGATTGTTTATCAGTTATTAGCATTAAAAGAACATGATCAAATAACAATAGTTGCACAATCCCATTATAATAAATATTATACATATATGTGTATATAAATGTATATTTTTATGTGATGTAACGACTGTATCTATACTTATAGGATTAGTTCACGCCAGAAGTAAAATTTCCTGATAATTTACTCACCCCCGTGTTATCCAAGATGTTCATGGTTTATGAGGAAATCATTCCAGGATTTTCAGGATTCCAGGACAACGGGGACTAAAGGGTTGAAGGTCCAAATTGCAGTTTCAGTGCAGTTTCGAAAAGGCTCTACACAATCCCAGCCAAGGACTAAGGGTCTTATCTAGCCAAACAATCATTTTCTAAAAAAATTCAAATGTATATACATTTTAACCTCAAATGCGTATGTTGTACTAGCTCTGCAATGCGTTTCAACTTTGTTTATTGCGTAGTCACATTGGAAATGTCATGCCCAGTGTTTAGAAGTGTGGAGAAGGAGGAACATTCAAAAGTTATGTTGATTGACACACATTTATGTCTTTGTATCAGTTTATTGTTTAAAATGGTCAGTTTGTGTGTATCCTGGATGTTTAAATCTTTTGAAACCTAGTGGAAGTGATTACGTAATGCATGAAGTTGTGGATGCGCATCACAGAGCTAGCGTAAGATGAGCATTTGTGGGGGGGGAAAAAAAGGATTTATTTATTTTTATTTTTTTTTTTTTTTTTTTTTTTTTTTTTTTAGAAAATGACTAGATAAGACCTTATTCCTCGGCTGGGGTCGTGTAGAGCCCTTTGAAGCTGCACTGAAACTGCAATTTGGATCTTCAACCTTTTGGTCCCTGAAGTCCTCTATATGGGGAAAAATCCTGGAATGTTTTTTTAGAAAATGACTAGATAAGACCCTTATTCCTCGGCTGGGGTCGTGTAGAGCCCTTTGAAGCTGCACTGAAACTGCAATTTGGATCTTCAACCTTTTGGTCCCTGAAGTCCTCTATATGGGGAAAAATCCTGGAATGTTTTTTTCAAAAACCTTAATTTCTTTTCAACTGAAGAAAGACATGAACATTTTAGATGACATATGGGTGAGTAAATTATCAGGAAAGTTTAATTCTGGAGTGAACTAACTCTTTAAGGATCTAATAAGGCTGATGATACACGGGGCAATGTTTTGAGCAATGTTGCCAAGTAACTTGGGTTAATGTTGCCATCAGTGGGCTACCAGGTGAGACACAGGGCCCACAACTTATCTAAATTATCCAGATAGAAGTTTGTTACCCATTCTCAGTGGGAAAATGCCCAAGCAACATTGCTCAAAAAAAGTTTCCCGGCAAAATTGCTCAATAAGTTGCCCCGTGTATCATCAGCATTAATCTTTTGTAGTTTTACTGTAGCAGCTCAACTGGTACATCCTCAGATCTGAGTCATGTATTGTTCCTGTTTCCTATCGTTTTCTGTCATGTCGTTTGCTATTAATTAATTGGCTTCTTTCTTGTTTTTGCGTTATAGAGCCCATCATTGTGGAGGTGGTTTTCCGGAACCCCCTGAAGGTTCCCTTGGCTCTGTCGGCTCTGTGTCTGCTGTGGAAGTTTACTCCGAAAGACTTCTCAGACCCCCAGGGCAGCACAGCCGGAGAGACCATCACCAATGAGAAAGAGGCAGCATCTTTGAAAGAAGTAAGGCTGTTAATCGTCTCTCGGTTCATCGTGCCTGAGGCATCCAGCTTCGAGTTTCTCATCAGTTTGATTAACTTCTACATTTGAATCCGTTCCAGACCATGGCCCTCAATGGCATCATTGATACGCAAGTCATTCCAGAGTTCACCATAACTCCAGAGGAGACCAAAGTGGTTTGTGCACCTTTTTCCTCTTATCTCTCCTCTTCGAATTTTTTCGAATTCTTTACCTGTATTGGCTTTGTGTTCTTGTGTTTGTTCTGGTCTCGCTTTCTCAGGCCCGTTTGAAGTTGCTTCCTCATAAGACCGGAGAGTTGCATGTTCTTGGTGTGGTGTACAATCTGGACACTGGAGAAGTGGACAACAGTGAAGGTTTATCACAAACACTCACTCTTTGATGTTTTGTAGACACTGAAACCAACAGTTAAAGTTATTTATCTGATGTAAGACTAACTGTAGATGTGACTGGTTTGTGCTGCAGGCTCGCTGGCCGAGGATCTGATGTGTGTTCGTGGACAGCAGAATCTGGAGATCCAGGGATCCAGACTCAATATGACCAAAGAAGAAAAGACTTCCGTCACATATGGACCAGATCACCGTCTGGACCCCATTATCACTCCTCCTATGCCCTTATTGGAGGTGTGTTTGAGTAAATCAAACGTTGATTTTAAGCTTTAATAAGCTACAGGACTTGAACTTGTCCTGAGAGCAGATCTCTATAAAAGCACTCGTCACAGTTAAATCGAGACTGTTTAATGATTTACAGTGCTCAGTTTGCAGTGCAAGGCCTGAGTGATGTATTGAATATTTACGATATATTCACATTGATTTTGGTGGGGATATATACAATTATGCTGTATTGTGAGTATTGCAGTGATTTAAATAATTTATATTTAAATATTTTATTAGCAAAACTCAAGTAAGAGCAAGTTCAGCTTATTTTTTTGAATCTGTTCAAAATGTCTATCATAGTATATACAGAAATTTACTGAAAATGTATCACACTCAGGCCATCCAAGATGTAGATAAGTTTGTTTCTTCATCGCAACATATTTGGAGAAATGTAGCATTACGTCACTTGCTCACCAATGGATCCTCTGCAGTGAATGGGTGCCGTCAGAATGAGAGTCCAAACAGCTGATAAAAACATTACAATAATCCACACGTAATCCACACCACTCCCGTACATCAGTTAACAACATGTGAAGTGAAAATCAAATCCATAATTTTTTTTTCAAACCATTGCTTCTGGATAAAATACCCCTATCGGTAATATTGCTTTCCTCAGTGAATAAATTGTCTCATCTGAATCAGGAGAGAAATATGCACAGATCAAGCACCCCTTACAAGCAAAAACAGTCCTAAACAAATATGTTGGTGGATTTTGATGTGCGAGGTCAACAGAGGATGGATTTTTTTTCACTGGAGGAAGGGTTAATATGGATTATGGACATTTGAACCAGAAGCAACAGTTTAAAGTTAAGTACTTAAATCTTGATGGATTTGTTTATTACAAACACACAGATTTTCAATTCACACGTTGGTAATTGTTGGACTGGTTTATTTGTGTATTATTGTGATGTTTTTAGCAGCTGTTTGGACTCTCATTGTGACGGCACCCATTCACTGCAGAGGATTCATTGGTGAGCGAGTGATGTAATGATACATTTCTTTAAATCTGTGCTGATGAAGACAAACCCATCTACATCTAAATCAGCTATTCAATTATTTATTTGACACAAAAATGTTGGCATTATAATGAAGATTTGTTTTAAGTTACCAGTCTACATTGATGGCTTCTGAGGAAGTGCTACTGTAGTTGGTGGATTTACGTTTTTATTTCAAGGCATTGAATCTCTTTTTAAAAAGATGGTGAACGCCCTCATGTGCACCAGACTTTATATCAATAGTCAAACCTCTGTTGGATAAACCACGCAATTACTGTTTCTCTTTCCTTCTCCACCCAGGTGTTTTTCATTAACTTCCCCACTGGTTTATTGTGTGGTGAGATCCGAAAAGCGTGGGTGGAGTTTGTGAATATGAGTGCAGTCCCTCTCACTGGTCTTCGGGTGGCGTCCACACACCCAGAGTTCTTCACGTTCGGGAGTGCCGCCTCTGACCTCACCCCAGTGACCCCCACAGCAGCAGAGCACTGTTCTGCATACAAGACTGTGGCCATGCCCCCATCAGTGGAGACCGTGTCGCTCGTGTCTCCAGCAGCGTTCGGGGTCACCAGCGGTGACCGGCCAGTAGTGGCAGAGATTCCTTTATCACAAGGTGTGTTGGGACCTGGGGAGGCGTTGCAGATCCCGTTATGGCTCAGGGGGCCCGACCGAGAGGGTGTCCATGAAATCAACTTCCTCTTTTACTATGAGAGCACAGAGAAGACCGCCAAACTAAGGTACATGGCTTTTTATGCTTTATTTGGACTAATAATGGACAATACTAAGAACTGAGCATGGTTTGTTTAACAAGGTTTTTCTCAGGCCAGTGTAGCTTATTTGGGTGTACAGTATATATTGTGAACATATTGCTGGACTGTTATTAATTCACTAAGTGCATTTTATTATTAATCCACTTATTTTCTTTTTGCATTCTAAGAAATTAAACGCAACTAAGACTCCAAATGGTAGTAGTAGCAGCCTGTTGTTTAAAGATATGTACTGCTTCATGTTTAGTACTGGAAGTGCATTTTTATGTAAGTGTCCGATAAAATTTTTTATTGAATAAATATATTTTTAAAACATTTTTAAATAATTTAAAACAAACATATTTTAAACACATGTATATTTTTAATATTTTAATTACCAAAAAATGTTTAACGCCATTGTTAAACAATACAAAATGTATTACTAAATAATATTATAAATAGTAATTAATTATAATTATAAATAATGAATTATAACTATAATAACTACAATAAAAAATAATAATATGCTATAATAACATTAGTAACAATTTTACATTTAAGTATAGTGTATGTATAATATAGAAATAATACTGTTATAAATAATATGGTAAAAATTGTAAAAAATTTGTCACTGTCAATACAAACGTTGCTATTGTTATTATTAGTAACAATAATAATATATTTATAATATTAATACTATTAATAGTAGTATTAGTAACACTAAACGTGTGTGTATATATATATATATATATATATATATATTATTATTTTTATTATTTTTTTCCACATGACTTCCAGTGACTCATCTTGGCTTTCTCTGATACTTTCAGTCACAGGGTCCTTCGACACACGGCTTTCATCTGCGCAAGCCGATCTCTCAGCATCAGAGCCACGGCCAGCCGCAGCAACACACTGCACAGCAGAGAGAGAGAGACCGAAGAACGGCAGGAGGAAGAGGAGAAGAACGGCAGCATGTTGGTCTTTGTGGACGTGGAGAACATTAACACAGTGAGCTCTTTCCCACACATGGACTGCTCATGTGTCTTTTTTTTCATCTTAATACTTTCTCTTCTTGCACTTCATAAAATGTCTGAACACTGTGGCAATAGGGATGCACAGATGTGAAATTCTCTACTAATTTATGTAAATAAATGAAAAATATAAAGCTAAAAACTAAAATGAATCATTATGCTTGCTGAAAGTGAATTTAGGCAACATTTTAACATACAGTATGAAAAATTAATATTCAATTCAATTCAAGTTTTCAAGTCAAGTTTATTTGTACAGCGCTTTTCACGATACAAATCATTGCAAAGCAACTTTACAGCAAATTAAGTTTCTACAATATTTAGTGGTAGCTTATCAGTGGTGACTGTCAGTTAATGTACATATGGCAGAAATGTACCGGAAAATAAATTAAAGACGTAATCAAACAGACGATGAACACTATTTACAGCAATTATTATATGATGCAATCAAACTTATAGCAAAATGTGGTAGTTCTGTATGTGGTTTCAGGGTTGGCATCAGCATATCGGAACAGGCATATTCACCTTGAGATTTGCTAAAGATTACATTTAGCAGTGTTTTAAAATTATTATTAGTGTATTTGAAAGTTTAACTGCAAGTGAGCATTAGATAACAACATTAGATTACAGAAATTAATCTGCATTTTAAAATGGTAAATAAGCATGCACAATTAAATATTCAATACTTGCTGACTGTTATCGACATGCACACCCATTAACTATTAACTGCCATTAGTATGGCAGATGAGTGAAGCATTGAATATATATATATATATGTATATAGATATATATACACACACATATATATTAGTGCTGTCAAAATTTGCGTGTTTACACAGGCAATACATTTTTTCAGTTTAACGCATGAAAAATAAACAAACACACAATAACACATTTGCATGAGAGAACTCTGAAAAAGCCCAGAAAAACACAGGACAGAGCACTTTGCCATAAAACAAACCAAAAACAAGGATGAAAAAGCGGTACATATCAGATAAAGCACCGGAATTTAGGTATTCGCGTCGCTAGACGATGTCCCTGTAAAATCAATTCTGAGTGCAGCCAGCGAATCGAATCATTTGGCTGTTATATTATTTAAATACTACTTATATAGTTCATAAAGATCATTTGCACTATTTTTTCCTGTTGCACTCTGTATATTTTGTTATTATATAACACGGTTTCCATTTTCTTTACTCCCTAAATGTTTTTGAACACATCTATATTGTTAGTAAAGTAAATAGACCTGTTTTTCACTGAAAAGCGCCTACAACAATATTGTAATAAATGGCTATAACTTGCTTGGGGAATGTTATTTGTAGAAAAAAAAATATTTGGAAGTGTAAAACACCCAGATACAACTTTCTAAAGAAAAAAAATCTGAACTTCGGGAGTTTTTGTTTGAGTACACAGTAAAAAAAAACACCCAATTATTGTTTGCGTTTTACTTAAAATTCTGGAAATTCATTAATTCTTAGAGAAACCAAAGGGAAAATTTGGACTTTAAATAAATTAGCTAGACTGAAACTTCAAGTGCTCCTGTTTATTATGATATGTGGCACTTGATGCTCACTGCTAGCATAGGTCTGAAAAAACAAAGAAACGTACAGGCGTGTCAGGTGCCCCAAAAAAGTTCTAGGTCTTTAAGGCTTAAGTTATTTATAATAAGTGAAGTGAAGTTTAATGTTAAGTGCACTGATGTCAGACTCATTTTGAATAATAAAATTTATTGTTAAATTGTTAAATACCCTGCCTCCACTACATAGGCCTATGTTTGTCACATCATTATAAGTGATCACCACATTTGAGTTATAATTGCAAAAAATGTGTTTATGTAGGCTATATACTGTATTCTATATACAGTACCAGTCAAATGTTTGGACACACGAATAGGAAGTTTTGACTATACTGTACTAAATTATAGCCTACACATATATCGGTATCGGTCTTTTTTTGACTCCCTAATATCGGTATCGGCATCGGCCACCAAAAAACCCATATCGGTCGGGCTGTAGTTTTTACATTAATTTGAAGATTGAATGTGAAATTATTGCAATGTAAAAGTATTTTTAAAAACTTTAACTTTCTCTGTCAGAGCGAAGCAGGTGTTCGTGAGTTTCACATAGTTCAGGTGTCCAGCAGCAGTCGACAGTGGAGGCTGCACAAGTGCATCAACCCTGTGGGAGATAAAGGTATGAATCCTCCAGCATGCTCTGGTTACATGCACTTAGTCTCTTAGCAGACACTTTCATTCCTCTTGCAGCCACCTGAGGTTAAGTGTTTTGCTCCACATTGCTTGGTAGTCTGTGGATCGCTCCTTTATTTGGTTCTGTGCCGGAGTTTTTTCTTCCATCCAACACAAAGCGAGATGCATAGCAAAGTATCCACAATTCATAATGGTGGTCCTTCATAAGTGATTTCCTTTCTTTCCTCTTGCCTCATCTTGCGCTCCTCAGACTAAAATCAATATCTTGATTCTTCCTTTGCTCTTGTCAAGTGTTTCTTATCAAACAGTTTTCTACCCTTTGGTAGAGAACCACTTTCTTAAAATATTAAGGCAGCTATATATTTGCATGTCTTAAAATAAAAAACATTTATATAAAAAAAAACTAAGTCTAGTGTAATATACTGTAAAGACAACAAAATTATATATTTTTTCCCAAAATTAAATTATTAGCGTTTATATTGACAACATGGAATGTTTTTAAATATATATATATTTTTTTTTTTAAATAACTTTTTGTAAGGTTGACAGTGTAATGGTGACAGTTTTTCACAAAAATATATGCAGATTTGTTTTCTTTTTCTGTTAAAATTAAAGCTGCCAATCCCACAAAATAATTGCCATTAATCTCATGATTTCCAACCCATTTTTAGAGAATAAACCAAATAAAGTAGAAACATTTGGTGATAAGTAAATACTTACTAACACTGTACTTAAAGCCTTTGTGTATAATGCATTATGAAGGTATTAATGATGTAGGTTGTCATGCATAATAATGTGAATGTGAAGGTTTGTTTGTCATGTATTTTAATGCATTATACTTTGTAAAGGGGTAACAATGAATAGGTAAGTATTATAAAGTGTTGCAACTGTGGTTACAATTATTCATGAGATCATACAATGTATTATAAGGTACATAATTAATGCATCAAAACTACTTTTATAATGCATTATATATAAGCGCTCTAAGTGAAGTTTTAGGAAATATTTCTATAATATTGTAGAAGCACATTTACCTATTACAGCCCTAATTTCTCTAGTAATTTTTACAGACAATGACAATCTATAGCAATAATTAAATTTTGAAGTTCATATAATATCATGCTTAGTATTTGTCTTATACATTATAAGTGGCTTTCTATGTAAACCACCTTTATATAGAAAAGGAATCGTCATGTTTTGGGGTTCTTGGCCGAAAATAAGTTTGAAAGCCCCAGCTGCAGACAACCCACAGACTAGTCGTTTTTTTTTTTTATATTTAGTTTTGCACATCTTTAGTTCCTTTGAAACATCACACAGATCTGTTTTAAGATGCTGTGTAAAGAGCGATCTGCCTACATAAATCCATATGCACCTCCAGCACTGTGAATATTGATGCAGAGGAACTTGATTGCATGTCAGCAGGCCAAGCAGAGTATCAAAAGAAGCTGGGAGCAGGTACAGAGGCACAATGGTACGTTCCATGACCTGCAGCCTTTAAATGGCCTATTGAAAGTGGGTTTCACACATTGCATTTGTGTTGAGCCATCTGTACGGCTGATACCTTAAGAGCGAGAAATGCACGCTCATACACACCCTGCAGAGAGTGATGCAGCTGCTCTGAAATTAGGTCACTTTGAAATTGTGCTGAGTGTGTGAAACATGCAGGCATACGCATTTTAGTGGCGTACTAAATTGAAAAATTGAATCCCGTGCATGCGTTCATCCTGTACCGTCAGCTTGGATGAGGCGAATACATTTAATGATGTGAAAATACGTGAACAAGAACTTGTGACTTCAAAACAATGCATATTTAACTGAGCGTAACACTTCCAAAGCTAAATCAGTGTTTGCTTAAGTGTGTAAAATCAATCTTCTGTTTCAAACTGCAGACCGGCGGCTGGTGTTGTTTAGTAGCATTTATGCCTGCATCATTCTACAAAGTTAATAACAATGTAAATAGTTAAAATAATATGCCTGAAGAGTTCTTTAATTCTGTACTTTTAATTAATTTATTGGTCTGAAGGAACAGAGTGTCTTTAATCTGAGGAGATGATGGATCGTGGAGCTACAGCTACAAATAAATGACGAATACTTCCTTGTTGTTAGTCTTTGAATACTTTTCATTTTGAAAGAAAAATAAAATGTTTCTACTAAACTTTTGGCTCCAGCCAACTGCTGTGTTTAGTATCCCATGCTTGAGACATGAAAGGACACCGAGGTTTCAAGTGGGATTGAAAGATCTTGAGTTCTGAGGATCTAATCAGAAAGTTTGATCTGTTGGTCACAATGGCTTCATACTTTCGTTTGTTTCTCACACTTAAAAATGAAAATTCTGTCATTTATTCACTTTCATGATGTTCCAAAACCATAAGACTTTTGTTTATCTTGGAAACACAAATGCAAATATTTTCCATGAAACTTTCTGTCCCTCCATTGAAAGTCCATTCCACCAAAACTTTGATGCTTAAAAACGTTTATAAAAACAGCGTGAAAGTAATCCATGTGGATAGAGCAGTAATCCCAAATCTTCTGAAGAGACACAATCTCTTCGTGTGATGAACAGATTCTGTTTTAGGGTTTTATTCACATGATCTATGGCCATAAATCCAGCACATCAAATATCATAAATAGAAGCTTGAACTTGCTTGTTTGATACTAGAGAACCAATGATTTTGAGAGATTATTAAAATTATCTTCATTAAATGATGACAGAATACAATTTTTTTTTAGTGTGAACGTCTTCACCCTAATGCTGTTTCAATTCCATATGACTCTTCCGTAGAGCGCAAAAAAGTCTTCTGAAATCATACAATAACTTTGTGTAAGGAAATTGAGGTTATTCATTCATAAGCCCGATTCAGACAGTAATTGTTTCTCATATGGACGTCTGTAAAAATAAATTTACATATCACCTCAATGATAAAACTCATGGGTTTGGATGGCGATTTATTCACAGTGGAGGAGCGAGTTCTGTGATCCTACGAACCCAGGAACGCGCTGCTCACGCGGCCAGTCACATGATTGTCTGCTGTAAATAAAATTCATTTCGTTTACAAATTTATTCTTATTGTGTAAAATGTATTTTAAAATACTTATGTAAAATGTATTCTTATTATTCCAAGCATATTTTATAATATAGAATCCTATTTATTATTTGATTATTTAAATCTCCTGTTTAATAATAGGTAAATAGACGCGCTATAGTCGTATAGAATTATACGCGATATAGTTATGTTTATATAATACACATTTTAAACTTGTATTGCATACCTACTGCTGCCATAAGAAAGACATATTTTGAATGTTTACATGCTTTTCTTCTCTTTCTGCTCCCAGTCGCTGTGGTGGAGCAGTTATGAAGTATTGTTTTTTTTTTTAAATACTTTCCAGCATTTCAGAAATAAATATGCATGTAAATGCGAAGTAGAATAGTTACCTTACGGTGTTCGGGAGTGCTCAAAAAGGGTTTAAACACTGATTTTTTTATCTATTTCTTCTCGTAAACTCAGAGATGTGGATTCAGACAGCAATTAAATTACCACACGACCTTGGTGTTTGCTTGTTTGATACTAGAGAACCAATGATTTTGAGAGATTATTAAAATTATCTTCATTAAATGATGACAGAATACAATTTTTTTTTAGTGTGAACGTCTTCACCCTAATGCTGTTTCAATTCCATATGACTCTTCCGTAGAGCGCAAAAAAGTCTTCTGAAATCATACAATAACTTTGTGTAAGGAAATTGAGGTTATTCATTCATAAGCCCGATTCAGACAGTAATTGTTTCTCATATGGACGTCTGTAAAAATAAATTTACATATCACCTCAATGATAAAACTCATGGGTTTGGATGGCGATTTATTCACAGTGGAGGAGCGAGTTCTGTGATCCTACGAACCCAGGAACGCGCTGCTCACGCGGCCAGTCACATGATTGTCTGCTGTAAATAAAATTCATTTCGTTTACAAATTTATTCTTATTGTGTAAAATGTATTTTAAAATACTTATGTAAAATGTATTCTTATTATTCCAAGCATATTTTATAATATAGAATCCTATTTATTATTTGATTATTTAAATCTCCTGTTTAATAATAGGTAAATAGACGCGCTATAGTCGTATAGAATTATACGCGATATAGTTATGTTTATATAATACACATTTTAAACTTGTATTGCATACCTACTGCTGCCATAAGAAAGACATATTTTGAATGTTTACATGCTTTTCTTCTCTTTCTGCTCCCAGTCGCTGTGGTGGAGCAGTTATGAAGTATTGTTTTTTTTTTTAAATACTTTCCAGCATTTCAGAAATAAATATGCATGTAAATGCGAAGTAGAATAGTTACCTTACGGTGTTCGGGAGTGCTCAAAAAGGGTTTAAACACTGATTTTTTTATCTATTTCTTCTCGTAAACTCAGAGATGTGGATTCAGACAGCAATTAAATTACCACACGACCTTGGTGTTGACAGTAGGAATTTCCTACTGTCAAAAAAACAGTAGGAAATTCGCCCACAGATTTTTACGGGGGTGGTGCGAGAAAAACACAGACATTCTGGATTCAGACGGCAATTATCACTTACGTACCCATGAGAAACAATTACCGTCCAAATAGGGCTATATTAGTCATTTTCGTTCTCTTCTACAGCCCTCAAATCTCATTCACACTTCAGTATATTCACCATAAGTGCTTTACGGTTACAACAGAAGTCAGTAGCGGTGGAGTAGGAAATTCGCCCACAGATTTTTACGGGGGTGGTGAGAGAAAAACACAGACATTCTGGATTCAGACGGCAATTATCACTTACGTCCCCATGAGAAACAATTACCGTCCAAATAGGGCTATATTAGTCATTTTCGTTCTCTTCTACAGCCCTCAAATCTCATTCACACTTCAGTATATTCACCATAAGTGCTTTACGGTTACAACAGAAGTCAGTAGCGGTGTTTCCATTACCCTTCAAACTGCGCAAATTGAAATTGCAAATTGAAAATATGGCCAATGGAAACTCCCATATATCACAAAAAGGTTTTTACGCTCACATGAGGTGGTTTTTCAGGCCGTTCGAAAAAGGAATATATCACAAAACTGCAATGTAAACTTTTTTTCACATTAACAGGTCACCTGGTGTACGTAAAAGTCACTTGATCATTCTTTAATGTACTGTAACCACCAAGAAACATCTCCTACGTGGCCGCTCAAGTATAAAGGGCTTTCCTTGCCATTAATGCTTGGATAAACCCTTATTTACACTGCACACGTCTGGTGCATCGGCCACTCTAGTCAATGCTTGTTTATACCAGCCACACCGCGGCACGTTTCAGAATCGTCCCAGAAGAAGCTTTCCGCGACGCTTCACTAAAGATACACGCATATTAAAAATAATGGTCAGTGCGGTGGCTGCAATATATGTAAAACTACCAACGTTGCCATGACTTATCGTGAGAGGAAAAAAATTACATTTTATTCGCATAACATCGATTAATGGAAACACAATAGTTTTTTTTTTATCAGCATTTATAAAATATTGCAAAAGTTTTGTGCAAATCTGTAATAGACACCCGGCTAGTGACATCAAACTTGGTTTGCCAAATCTTGTAATTTTGAATATGCATGAGCGCAAATGAGATTTGACAACTGTGACAAATTATTTCTGTAAATAATTACTTTTTGGTCTGTTATGCACACAAAGCTATCATATGGCGTGTTAAAGTAAGTGTAATTATGACCTGAGTTCACATGAAGGTATGTGCAAAAATGCTGAGGCTAATTAAAACTAAACCTTTGAAGCAATAATCAAGAAACACGGAAAACAGCTTGTGAAATATGGAGCAAGTATAGCAAAATGCACTTTGCTTTGAGGAGTTAATTAACTGACCTTGACATCTGAACTGTTTTCGTGTATTTGAGTCTCTGATGTGGGAGCACCAAAAAGAAAGATTTTCTGAGAGTAAGTGGATGAACACTCATCATATTTCTTGTTTTTGCCTTCATTTTGTGTTGTGTTTGCAGACTCTAAGCTGGCCAGCAGGGAGAGGGGGAAGCTGTGCTTCAAAGCCACCAGATGCAGAACAGAGGAAGGTGGGGCGTCCAGTTCACGCGCACATACCCAAATCATGCATTCCATGTATTTTTATGCAAAATTTGCACCATTACGTAAATGCTGTCTGGAAAGACCAAGATGTGAATCAGATTTCCAAAATGCACATGTTGAGGTGTACAATTTTCTTAGCGAATCAAATAAATTCCTAGATGTAACTTTGCCTCTGCAATCACAGCTGCTCACGGCCAATGAAAATGCAGCAAAATGTGGTTAACATACTGATGTTTGAACATACTGACATTTTTTTTCCCTTAATGCCTCAGCTACCTCAGAAAAATACACCTTTGCCGACCTCAACCTTGGCAACGAACAAGTAAGAATGCCCTTTTGTTCTCACTACTAGTTCAGATCGATGCTTAGAATTAAGCGCCACTGACTATCGTCTTCATTCAGCTTCTCAGCAGTCCTCATTGTGTTTCACTCTCTTGTCTTTTTCTCTTTTATTAGATTGTCAGCTCTACCACTCCATGTGCTGATTTTTTCTTCCGGAGAGGTCTGCCCTCTGAACCCAGGAGAGGGGGCGTTTCCACAGGCGGTGCTAGTCAAATGTGGAGACAGAGCGGGACTGATGACGGTGTGACAAATATTGTCAAAAAATGCAGTGAAGTAGAGCTTGACATCATCGTCCTCTGGAAGGTACCCTGATGAAATGTTCCAACATTTATTTTGATTCAAGGAGAGTGAATATTTTTTAATTCAAAACAATATATATACATTTTTTTTCTTCAAAATTATAGAGAATTTTTTTCTTAATTTTTGACAATTACATTTTAATTAATGTTAGTTAATTAGTTAATGTAGTAAATATAATTAGTAATATATA